ACATTTCCCAAAAGTTGTAAGGGGTGGAAATGATGGGAATGAAAATATATTATTGAGAAATTTCAGAATATTTAGCTATTTAAAGTGGCTACTTTTTCTCAAGAATATTAAATATTTAGTTGGATGGTGCAAGAGGATCAATACACGAGTAATTCAAGACCAAGAATTGACCGCTCCAAGGAATTTAAGAAATCTCGTTAGGCCGTTTTTCATCTGATCTGCAAAGACCGGAAGGTTCAAGAATAGAGGGAATTTGAGCAGATCTCAAAGCTCTAAGGATTATTGAATTGCATTATGTCTAACGATACGACCTTTGCACGAACGACAGTAGAGACTATGTCTACCATTACCCAAAACGGCAGAACTGCAACCTGAACATGTGTGGGGTTGGGTAATTAGACAATTTAACCGAATGCCAATCGCGTGAGTGAGCTCGTTTGGGTTCAATTGTAATTGCAAATTAACAGAAGGAATACTTTCAAGGAACTCATGGCTTGAACCATTAAGCAGTGAAGAGAATAAAGGACGGTCAGATAATTGTTCTGAAAAGGAGTTATTCAACGTAGAATGCAATAATAGGCCTATCCCAGTCCTTCTGCTTATTCGATTCAGAAAGAGGGTGATTAGCAATAATTCGTGCCTTCCATTCGATGATTGCATCATTATAAGAAGCGTCGGGTTTTAATGAAAGAGAATTTACTATATTTTTTGTTAAAAGACAACTGGCTATGAAGGCTGTTAAGGCGAGATCGGACGGAGATCTGAAACCAAGACCTCACATCTTGGTTGGTAAAGAGGCTTGTGTCCATGCAATTTCATCGAACTTAAGATTTAGAATATTTTCGATAAGGACTTTAATCCCATTTTCATAAACTCCGAGAGGAATGGTGAATTTAAAAATGGCGGTTGAACGAAGCGCATAAAGAATACAAGGAATATTGAAAAAAATTATCACGAGGAAAAAGGCTTTATGGGAGGGAATAAGGAAAATAAATCAGCCAACTCAAAAAGTGTTTCAAGTGTGGACTGAAGGAAGGAAGATATAGCAGTTACCACCAACAGGGGCACCTAAATGATGGAGTCCATCAAGGGTAGTTAGTTTGAATTTATTGAATTAGGTTCGATAGAATTGATAGGGATAAATTCAGATTTCTCAGGATTGATGGAGTCTGATAGCAGATCCAGCCTGCTTGATAATATTCACAGCTTTATTTACCACATATTTGGAACCACCAAGGATACCATCATCTATATACCAAGTATGTAAGGATAATGAGCAGATCGTATTAATGGATTTAATGTCATTAATACCTAAAAAAATAGGGAACCTAGAGGGTCTCCCTGTTGAATGCCCTCAATGGAAGGAATTTTAAAGGTATCAAATTGTAGGGTGGAAGGCTGTTAACAAGAATAAATGAACTTTGTGTAACTGGGAAAAAGAGTACTAGAGGAACTCAGGAAGGAGTTTCAGGAGAGTGTATTGTAGGCATTAGAGAAGTCTATTTTAACTAAGGATTCATTAGAGGGTAGATTTTCAAGATATAATCTAGTCATATGTACCACCACTTCACAGTCACCGGGGATCCCAACACCTAGTTGGAAGGGGCTTAAGAGACGTGAAGCATCAGGCTTAATTCGAGATGATATCATCTTGGCGACTAAACGACGAAAAGTAGAACCGATGGCAATTGGTCAGATATCATTATTGGGCTTTTAAAGTGCGATTAGCCTAGCATCAAAGAGGATAGGAGAAACAAAACTTGGAACTTCACCTTTTAAAATTTTGTTTAGAAAGAATGGATGTTTGTGAGCATGTAGAGGGAGAAATGATGTCCTGGAGAAAAATGGGGCGTATGCCATCAAGACCATGAGCAGAATCACGATACTTTTGAAGTAAAAAGAGAAGCACAAGTTGAGTGAGGTTGAGGGGAAATTGGGATAATGTTATCTGTGGGGGTGTTTTTGACATAACTTTATATAAGTGGACATGGAAGGCTCAGCCAGAGAGTCATGTGTGGACACCAATCTGTGCACCTTTAATATTGAGATTGTCAATTTTCTTGCAAATCAGATTGGCCTTCATCTCAATAAATGTTTTCTTTTATTTAAGACAGGCTGTGACATTTGGTATTCATGAAGATGAAGAGTCTTAATTGAAGCAGCATCCTTGATTTTCTGGGTAAGGGATTTATGTGAATTTTTGTCAGGCACTCTGAAGGTACTATATCCATAGAATAGGAATTCTACCCATTCATGCTCATTGCTTATATTCTTTTAATAAAATTTTTATATATTTATATTTGTCTCTATTTTCACATTTAATAGATATATCAATTTAATTTTTCTTAACATTCAAATTATATTAGTGTCTAAATTAATATTTAATAGAAATTAAGAAATATATCAATTAAATTTTTCTTAATATTCAATTAATTTAGTTATATTATTTAATTACTATGGTTGATATTGAAAATCTATTTATAGAAGCAACAGATAAATCTTATTTAGATATATAGTTTTTTTTACTATAAAATAATTAAATTATATGTCTTAAATTCTATAAAAATTTCAATTGTATCAAGTTGTAAGAGAATAGAATTAATATTAAGTTTGAGGTTCATTCCCCAAGCTTTAAAATAGCCCAATGGGCTACATCTAGAATAGTGTCCAAATTAACATGCAATAGAAATTAAGGGATATATCAATTAAATTTTTCTTAATATTCAATTTATTTATATCATTTAATAACATAATTGTCTATAAAAAATAAAATGTAACATAATTTAATATAAAATATTTTCATAAATATATTTAATACAATATAAATATAAAAATTTAATAATTTATAAAATTTTTAAATTTGTCTCTAAGAATTTTTGATTCCATCGAAGTAGAATTATTTTCCCTACTAGTCAAGAAAGGTTTTGTAATGATTTTTTGTTTTAATGTTTTAAATGCTTCATATTGAAAAAATAAAACTTAACGCATCAATTTAAACATTACTGCGTTTACGTTTTTTTTATAAGCGTTTTGAAAGGCTGAGTTGCAACGTTCAATTGGTGCGCACTATAACGTTCGTAAGAGAAATTTATTAGTGATGAAATCAATAAATCAGAATTTTGCTATTTAATAGAAGCCAAAAATACAGTTATTTTGGAATAAAAATAAGATATCGGTAAAACTGATGCAATGCTGGCTTAGAGGTTTATATGTTTCTCGGAGAAAAAAAGATAAAATAAATGTTAACTATAAACTTTGTTAACAAAATTAATTAAGAATAACGAGAACTTATTTAGAAAAAGTAAATTATATCGAGATTATTTATGTCATATAGGCTTCAGTCTGGACTTTCAGATTAATTTACTTAACAATAGTGAAGGTCATCTATATCTGAACTATAGAAAGATTTTGCTGTATATATATAATATCTTTTAATTCGTAAAAATTAAGCAACCATTAAATTTAAACCAAAAATTTTATTCAATTCCGGAAAAAAAGGGGAAAAAAGTCGAATTAAATCAGAGGAGCCAAAATTTTAAACAAAGCTTTGGAACACATTTAAGAAAATTTGATATTAGATCGGCCAAATCATTCGTGTTTTTAAAAATATTAGTTATCCGCCGATATCAATAAATAGACCGATTTGATATATCGAAATAGAGGATAATAAATTTTTGTGACAGAATGTGAATATTGAGACATGGACTATTTTTAAAGAATATATATTATTCATTTTAAATTAAAATTGCCCATTTGCTTTATATGAATATTTTTGGATTATTCTATTCCCTATAGATATTTTTACCAGGTTAAATAGGTGGATATCGGTGAAATCGGATAGGCATCTTAAAGGCTGTATAGGTATATCTCTAACACATTAAATTATACCCAAGAAAATTTCATGAAAAAGGTGTATTTCATCTTTTATGGGAAGTGAGTGAAAAAAATATTAGCTAAATATATTAAACTGTTCAAAAATTTCTACAGTGAGAGTTTTAGATAAGTGGTGTCGCTATCATATTTTATATAAGATTGAATATTTATTTTATTAAAAATTCATTTATCACTGTATATATCATTTTATCGTCGATATATATATATTTTCAATAATATAAGCTTACTCCAGTCTCTCTTGACATTTTTATCAATATGTTATAGTTTGTATGTAATTTTTACATACCATAGTTTTCAGGATATTTAAAATGATTCATTTAAAGGTAAAATTTTGTTTTCAAATATATAAATGGGAGATGAGAGTGATATGAGATTCATTACAAAATATAAGAGCATTGAAAACAAAATCCTCTTATCACTTGGAAATATTTTAAATTCTTAATATAAAAAATTGATTTAATTTTTAAAAATCCAGAAAAGCTTAATAAAGTAAATGGTGTCAAAAACGTTAATCATTCAATTTCTGAATATAGGTTTGTTGAGATTATCAAGATATGTATAATTGGCTGGTTACCTCCAGCCAATGTTTTTAAAAAAGAGACGCCGCCGCTGATTATAAGGTTGTAGACGAACATATCTACCTATGACTCATTAAATTATATGCATGAATTTTTTATCTCCATTCAAGCAATTCAACATTCCAAACCATTTAATGTTTAAAGACCCAAAACTAATTTTTTTTAAAAAATGTTTATAGTATAGAATCATGTCATTTGGGGTTTTCTCATGTTTGGTACAAGATAGTTTGTGGATTTGTCTCTTATTAGTTTAAGATTCGAGTTATCCAACTCAGGCCTGAAGATACCTCCTAGGTTCCCAATTTTTAGAAATCATCTAAATACAAAAATGTTATTTAATTTTTACAGATAAAATGAGATGATACGTTTCTGGGTAGAGCAAAATGTAACATATCTCATCACTTAAATAAATACTTTATTTTTTTAGTATTATTTTACTAAGAATTAATTAATTTTATATACCACCCCTCCTCCCCCCCCCCTTTGTTTTGTTATTTAAAACTATTGTAATAAGATAATTTATTTGCATTAAATTCCTGTGATAATTTTTTTAATTTATTTCTTATTGTAAAAATATCCTTTTTTCTAAAATATTAAATAGAATTTCAGTCGGTATAAGCTTTGTACGATATCTGTTTGAGTCTAGTGACCGCCGCTAATGGATCTAAACTCTCGTAAATGTCTCGCCCTACTATAATTATATCGCTCATGGCTTGAGATATAACGTAATCTGGAGTATTATAAGCTTGGCCTAAATCATCTTGATATTTTTTTATATTTTCGTGACCGTTGATTAATGTTTGGGGTAGTTTGACACCTAAAAATATAATTTTTGATAAATTTTTTAATGTTCCAAAGGATATCAAGAATACTAGATATTTATATTAGAGATATATGATATGATTTTAATTTTAAAAAATGGACCCGCTTTTTTAAATCCAAAATTATCGTATGAAAAAATTTAAAACAAGTTTACATACCATTAAAAACTATAAAATTGTAAGTAAATTTTAAGAGATATTTCGAAGTGGGTATTATGACAGAGAGAACTACATGGGTTGCCCGTAGCCCGACCCGATATTAGTGTCAATTAAAATAACATGTCATTTTTTATCTAACACATTTCATCATTAAAATGTCAATCAGAATAACATGTCATTTTTAATTATTATTTTAATAATATACGCAAACTATTTTGTTATTATATTTTTGTGTTATTATTTATTACATACTTTATATAGATCATATTCTATCAGGTTAATTAAATATATTTATCTAATATCTATTTAATTAAATAGCCTCAAATTTTGAATATTTAAAATCGTTTACCAAATCTTAAATTGGTGGAAGACTTAAAATGACTTTACCAATTAAGTGTTTTGGCTCTTAAATTCTTGGCTATCCCTGCTTCCTCGGTTAACAGTGAAAGTGCGCTTTCAGTGGTGGTAGGGCCTTTGAAGATAGGAGGACTTGTTTAAAGCCTGACGAACTCGACTCCTCATTATTTATATATTACAATTATTCACTATGTGATACTATTGATAATGATATTGATATATCATTATAATAAGTTCATTATATCATGCACATTATTTTTATATAATGGCAATAATTTTTAAATTCGATTGAATTTCAACTTTTTTAATATTTAAAATGAATATATTATAGCTGTCAAATAAACTTTTATAGTAATACACATAATTTTAAATTGTTTTTTGGATATTATAATATTCAATCTCACATTTTAAAAAATTTAGTCAGGTTCAGGTTGTGTTGAAAAAAAAAATTTGAATTTAAGTTCGAAAAATTTTTTTAATTTGGGCCTGGTCCGCGAAAAATCACTTTGCAGACCTCTAATGACGGTAATAATGCACTATATATTAATTTAGAATATGTGAATCCGAAACGTTTAATATGCATGTTTAAAAATTTGTTTCAAAAATCGACATTTTGAAAAATGTATTTTAAAATAAATGCTATATTTTTCAAGAATAAATAATTATTACTTTAGATAAGAATGTGATAGGTAGAAGTATTTTGTTTTAAAAAAATCAATAATTTTTATTTATTCCTTACGAAAAATTTTTTAAAAATAATAATTTTAATTATTCTTGTAGTTAGATAAGTATAATGAGTAGGAAAATTTATGGTTTGATCACTTTACTATATTTTTTGATATGGAATGCAATAAAGAATTTGCATTATTATTAAATTATCTTATTTTATAAACAAGTAACATGAAAAAATTAATAAGGAAGTTTAAAATTCAAAATCAATGCAAATATTATTAGTTTATAATCTCTTAAATATTACCGGGTGTAAAATGAAGGAAAGAAGGATTATCTAAAAGCTTCCTTTGACAAACCAAGCCCATAACAAAATCACCAGAGGCCTCCACTAGATTACATACATCTTGGTAGAAAAAGAGTTAATTAGAATATTTTTTGTTTATTTTTTACACATTAAAACTTAGAAAACAATGAAAAGTTTAAGTTAAGAATATTTCCATGTAATATTAAAAAATTCGTGAGTTTTTTTAACTTAAAATAAAACAAATTTTTATATATGAATAATATTTATATTTAAGAATTTTGAAATGCTAAACTTTTAGTGTAATCGTTCGTTAAAAAATTATCTTGGCAACTCATCTCAGCCACTAGAAGGCACGCTCTTTCTCTACCAATCGAGACCTATAAAAAATATTTCGCAAATAAATTATAAATTACTGCAAATAAAATTCAAAAATATAAAATTTTGTTATAAATGAAAAAATTAAAGTTAGGCTGTAGTCCACAATAAAGCATTTTACCAATATTAAAATTTTAAAGTATGCCCGAAATAATAATAATCATATTTTCAAAGTATTTTTAGATTGCCACAAGAAATTCTTAAGAATTTTCTTAACATTTTATTGTATTTAAATTTGTAAAATTTTAACCGGCCCCCCATAAATTTACTTTTTTCAATGCTTCGATAGCCCAGTGACCAATCAAACCATGGACTGTTACTATGTCAGCCCATTCGACTATTTTGTACATACCACCTTCGTACTGTAACTTTAGTATGTTACCAATATCGGCAAATTTCCTTTGAAAGTTTATGTGTTGAAAAGCATGAAGTAAGACAAAATAAAATCAACACCACATTCTGTCCCAATTGAACTGATAGTCTTTTTGTTTTGGCAATAAATCTGTTAATTTTAATAATAATTCAATAAAATTTTATAGAATACATTCTAAGTTGGACAAACAAAATTCAAACTTTCCAACATGAAAAGATAAAAATTATTTTTTTGCAAACTGCATACCTTACTTACTAATAATATGACTTCATTTCAATTCAGCAGACTATAATAAAAAAATGGTTTTCAGTAAAATGACTTGAGTTTAGTAAAAGAAAAACCTCATATGAAATCAAAAGTTGATTGTAAAAATGGATGCTACCAGATTAGCAGAAAAACGTATGAATGTGATAGATCACGCACAGCTCATACTATGGAAAATATTGATTCTGTTGAAACACTTGTATTGAGCTAAGAACAATGACCTGTGGCACCTATATAAAAATTCGTAAAGTATTCGTAGAAACTGGTAGTTCGCGAACTTCAGTGCATCGGATTATCCACAGAGAAGCAGCTAAAATGTTTAAAAAAGAAACAAGCCCAGGACCTAACCGATGCAAATAGGATTGCCTGTCTGGTACTTACTACAACTTATAGCAAAATACCCTCAACGGTTAGCAGAGTTGTTAAACCCAACTTTTAAAAGTAGCGTGCTACTGCTACAGATATTTGTCAAAAAAAGTAGCGCGCTACCGATATCACTACCCATTAAAAAAAGTAGCGCGTTATTAGCCACTATTTTTTAAAAGTAGCATTGGCTACTTTTTATAAAAAAAAATTCGAAATAAATTTGTTTTATTTTTTGTTTATAATATAATTGCATAGTATATAATACATAAAAATCAACATTTATAAATATTTATTTACATATAGTTAGTTTTGATTATAAAAATATTTGTAAAAAAACTAAATAAAAAAAACTATTTATGGTAATGTTCATTTTTTATTTTATTGTTACATTTTAATAATAAAATCATTTCTATATTATCATCCCCAAATCTAAAGTGACGACGAGAAAGTATGTTTCGCCTTACTAAATAATCTCTCAACACTAGCACTTAAGCGCAAGGCAATTTTTAATTTTATATAATATTATTAATATAAGAAAAAATCAAAAATACTCATTTGTATTTTTAGATTTAAAAAATGCGTCTAGATGATTTTCTATTACATTGGCATCCTTTATTTCCAAAAAATAATCAATGAAAGTCGTTTTTATGGTTCTAACTAGGACATCTTTGTCTGCTATCTAAATCAGTAGTGTCTGACAACAAAAATTGTTGTTCCAGAGGATAAAATTTTAATCATCATATTATCAACCAATGACATTGGCTGAATTGTATCAATTATAAAATCGACAATAACTTTATCAGCTAGTTTCTGAGAAATATTGGCATGTACAATATTTATTATTAATGTAATATTTATTATTTAAATTTAGCTTGAATTGAATTGGTCTCTTTGAATGTAGTCTCCCCTATAACAACATTATTAAGATGCTTTCTATCTCTATAAAACTGTTGGCATAAACATTCTTACAAAATAAAAATACTGTTAAAATTTAAGACAATTGCCTTTAGGTGTTTTTTGAGATAGCTATATTGAGGATATATTTTTACAGTTTGAACAAATAAATTTCCACCTTTTGTTTTACATTAATTTGAAAATATTTTCAAACTTTGAAAATATAAAATTTGTATTATTGTTATCAAGAACATTTTATTTCAGGATTCCATTTCATTAATATCATAATTGTTTGAATCACTTACATCGATTTGGATATCCATTTGCAAGACATTTTAAATAATTTACATCAGATGATTTAGATTTATAATACAAATTGGAAATATAAATTACAAAAATATAAATTACAAATTAAAAATATAAATTTCAATTTCAAAATTAAATGATTAATTATGATATTATATTTAAATTTTCATGTTTATTTACATTCATTATATTTTAAAAATCAAAAAAAGGAGCGCTCTTAAAAAATAAATAAGAAAAAAAGTAGAGCGCTACGAGCTACTATAACAACTCTAAAGGTTAGTTCATTTCATTAGGCTCACTGATGAAAAGCTGTTTACAGTAAATCTGCAAAATCATAGGATGTACTTGAAGCTCCAATGAAAAAAAACCAAGTTACAAACAATTGATATAACTCGTTCAAATTTCCCTAAATTCGTCCTGGTTTCAGTCGGGATATCAAGTCTTGGCTGCATAGAGCTCTTCTTTATCAATGCAGTGATCAAGATTAATGGTGCACATTATCGTGATGTTTTACTTGGTCAGAACTTATTGCCTCATTTTAAAGAATAGTCGGACAGTAAATTTTTCAAATTCCAACCAGTGCTCCAGCTTCTGTGGATCTGCACAAGAGAAACTACAGATTTTATTTCACCTACTATTCCCCCCCCCAATATCCCTATCAGGTTCAATATAAGATATGGAGCACCCTTCAAGAACGTGTTTATCAAACCCGCACATGCGACGTAACCATCTCAAACAGCAACTTGTGGAGGGGATGGAATCGTTGATAGTGCAATCAATGAATGGCGAGATCGCCTAGAGCATGTATTCGAGCTAATGGCGAGTATGTGGAATATTAGCTTTGAAGAACATTTGACTTAATTAATTTAATTATTGATGTTTTTATAGACGAATTACAAAGTTTAATAAAAAAATTTACATGTTAGGTTCGAAATTTATTTGTCCAACTTTGAATGTGCATTACTTTAGATTCTGTTGGTAGAATTGATAAAATTTGCAGAAAACATTAATAATTTATTAAATTTAATAGAATTATTTTTAACAGATTTAAAAAGGCATCAGTTCAATTGGGACACTGAATAATAATTTAAGAAGGATATTTTTAAAATGAATATTTAGAGAACATCCTGTTAATAAAAATTTATTTTTTAAAATATTGTTATTACCTATCTTCCATGATGAGGAAATTATGCTGAGAGGCGAGGGCTTTGAGCTTGTTTATAAAGCTAAATATTTTAAATATTGTATTAAGCTAGATTATATTTCAAAAAAGAAATCCTTAATGTAAGTTATTAGTTTAACTTATTGAAAAAAAAATATAGTCGTTATTTTTACATTTAATCTGTTAAAAAAGGAAATTTAAAAATAAAATAGCAGATTCATGATAAAAAAAATTGTATTTATATCAGAGACCTAAGCTCAGCTGGTAAATGACATGATTTTAAAAATATGGGCCTGATTTAAAATAAAAAATTATAAACCGAGGCAGAGCCTAAAAAATAAATAAAAACAAAAAAAATATTTACATTTAAATCAATTAATCAGTTGGAAAATTATCATTTTCAGTTTCCCATTGTATAAATAAATTCCGTTTAATACCGAAATATTAAGAATCCAGGTGTGGACAGTAAAATAATCAAAATAAAAATTCGGGAGAGGCTTTAATATAAATAAAAAAGGGGTCACCACCAAAAGATTTAAATCCAGCCCGGGTTTAAAAATAAACAAAAAATTCAAATCCCGCCCATCCCTAATAATTTGACCTCTGCAGATCTCTGGTTTTTATTACTAAACAAACTTAATAAACTATGAAAGAAAAATAGGAAAGTTTTTGTTATATAATTTAAAAAAACGCCAAGTATATATATATTTTTAAATATCAATTCTTTTTTATATTTACTCGACGGAAAATCGATTAATTATATCGACATGCGTTTTAACGCAACAAACATGGGGACCAACCAAATCAACCATCTAAAAAAAATGATATAAATAACTTATAAAACATAAATATAAAGTAAAAATTTTCTTTTTTCGAAGTTGAGTCCGATCAGATTTTATTACTGTTACAAATAAGTCCGAGTGCAAATTATATTATGAAAAATATTTTTCCCGGCTTATTAATTTTTCAATAAATGCGGTAAAATTATAAACAGAAAAGAATATTCATAAAAGCTTTTAATGAAACAAATACACTAAATATTTTGAAAGTCCAAGTCCGGCCTAAAGAACATTGTGCGAGCCTAGCTAATTATTATATTACTAGATAAAATGATTAACTTGAAAAGTTTCCTTTGACGCCCAGAAAGTTGAAATGCAAATTTTTTTTGAATAAATTAAACATTTTTTATGAAAATTCAAATTATTAAAAGAATTTTAATATGAAGTGAACCTTAATTTGGTTTGATTATTGAATCTATATACTTTTGTTATTAATATTTTAGTTGCCTATATTCGTTCAAAATGTAAATCATGGTATCAAGGACTTGGAGTTAATATCTTATATATTCTGACTTTTTTAATTATGAGTGATATAATTAAGTCGATAGTATTAGGACCATTCATCAAAATTGTGTCATGTTACTTGCTAAATTTAATCTTATTAAATTTGTAATTTATTTATATTACAAAATCTGATTAACAATTGTCAATATAAAATAAATTCAGGTATCCCCATCAGCATGGCCATGAATCTTTGAATAATTCCAAATTAAAACAATTGAGTTCAAAGCTTGTGGCGAATAAAAACGCCCTCTAAATTAAGAATCCTGAGATCTAATGGTTTCATTTACGAATAAACATGATGTCTATAGGTAAAGCTCCAATACATTCGCCACCATTAACCCACGATTTAATAGTATACCTCAGGCTTGCTAAATCTCGAAATTCAAACAGTGGAGTAAATTAATTTATCGTTTTTTCCCTAAAAATTATATCTTCATTTTAAAGGATTTGATTATGTTGAAAAAATATAAATTGGCTTTTTATAAATATATTATCTTTAATTATGGTAAGAAAAAGTGCAAATTTTTTAGCCATTTTTAATTTCTAAAATGTTCCCTAGTGTTCCACTCCTTAATTTAAATGTTGTTTTAATCTTCCATGTTACGTTAAAAGTTAATGATAGAGAGTTTTCGATATTGCTAAAATGGAGAAAAATCCTTTTTTATGTTGTAATAGTGGGTTAAGTATATTTTCACTGCATATTTAAGAATTTCACAGTTAAGTGATGCTTATGAGAAAATATATTAGAAATCCTCAATTCACATTCCAATGAAAGTGATCTGTAAATAAGGTAAAGTGAAATTAAATTTGTTTATAACTTCTGTATATTTTTTGCTCATAAAGATTTTATTTGTCATTGTGAAAAAATTCTGCGATGCAGCACCAAATGGAATTGTGTCAGTCAAGTGGTTTTTATGATTAAATAAGATGTTCCCACACTTTAGATTTAATAGTTAAGTTTTTACTATTTATAGTTTTGGAGTGAAGTAGAAGTTTGTTATAATTATTATTTAGCAGGAAATTGGATTAAAGATGGTATAGTTGATTAATCGGTATTATGTATAATTATCTCAACTATAAATCAAATACCTAACAGCCAACTAAAGCAACTCAAGTAGAATTAGCATAAGGCAGACATATTATATACTCCGCATAATAGTATTTCAATTCATTACTGTTTTAGGGCAACATTAAATCTACTTTCTATTTAACACCTAATATCTCCCCCTTCTTAGTAGCTGACAATATAAAAGCAATGTTCTATATAATAAAAAAATGACACATATCGCATATGAAAGCACATTTAGAATACTGCCAAATCTCAGTAATTTTTTGTAATATTTTTTAATCAAAAGCTTAGAGCAAATTAAATTTATAAAACTTCAATCTTTGAGTCTCTAGTTACTAATTATTGAGATATACAGAAAAAGATTATATGATTTGTAGGGTTAATTCCAATAACGAACGAGATGTTAACCTACTTACTAGAACGTCGATAATTTTTTCACCGGCGAAGCTTCTTAGATGGTCAAGAGACGATATTTTCAGTTGCACGAGATTTAGCAATAGCAGATCTATGATTCACTTAGATGTCAGGGGCTGCACGCGCGCTACATTGAAAGAATCAGCGTAATTATCTACCTGGTCCGAAAGAATATTCTGAGAAATTCGCTGAAATTCTTTAGTGATGGGGATAGAAAATTTAACTATTTTAGTTGAAAAGAGAATTCCCAGTAAGCGCGAGTCATAAGCCGTTGATTACATCTCTGCCCTTACTTAGTAAACATAAAAACTAACCGATTTTTGGTGACTCTGGATACTTTGTTCCGAGCAGGGTCGGCAAAGTATATTTCAAATGTCTGCATTGATCAACTCTAATGGTACGTTATATGCCTACCATGGTCGTAACGGGTAACAGAAAATCAGGGTTCGATTCCGGTGAGGGATCCTGGTCACGGCATCACTTTCTAAGAACTTATTTTATCTAATTTCTTAGTGCTTAATTTATCTGAAATATATTTCTTTTTTTTTTATTTAGCCCTCATGATCTGTCATATTTTTTTCTTATAAAATAAGGAAGATAATAATTTTTGTGTAAAGCAAATTTCTTTTTTATTCAATTTTCATCAAAAATATAATAATGAATTTCGTTTTTAAGAATATTATTATTTTTTTATAAGTATATCCAATCAAAAGTATAGATATTTTGGCTGGCATATTAGTATCACATTATAAATAATTCAATATAATAATAATTCTACGTTTAGAGACCCTAAGTAACAATTCGTAGAAGATATGCAGAGACCCTCAGTATCTCAGTTCGTGGAAGATATGCAGAGACCCTCGGTATCTCAAACAAATCACACAATCATTGATCAGGAGGAAAGAGTGGCGCCCGCTCCAATAATAACCACCACAGACATGCTTTAGGAGGACCTATTGTTAAGATAATAATATTCTATCCAAGGTAAAGACATTAACTGGAATAAAAAAATTTTTTAGTTTTTTTTAAATAGATCATTATAATGTATTTTTGATATATATTTTGATTATAATGTATAGGCTGGGCATGCTTCTGGCCCATAGATTGGTGGCTAGTCGCAGCATCTCATATTATTAAACGTAGATATATTATTATATAAATGTGATAAGTTATAAAAAAAATAATATAATTCTTAAAAAATAATATATGGAATTCATTATTATATTTTTGAAGAAAATTAAATAAAAAAGGAAAATTTTTACACAAAAATTATTATCTTCCATATTCTATGAGAAAAAAATATAATAGATCACAGGCTCAAATGAAAAAACCCAAAGGAATATATTTTCGATAAATTAAACACAAAGAATTAAGACAAAATATGTTCTTAGAAAATTATTATTATTTTAAATCTTGGTAAGTAATTAATTTAAACCTAAATATTAACAATTCGTTTTGAATGATTGATTAAAATAAAAAAGTTGTATGTAAAATAGTTTTGAATTGATTGATGACATAAAATTTGATGGGAATCCAAGTCAGATATTGGGTGAAACATCAAAAAAATAGTGATTCTGTCCTGAGTTGTTTTATATTTCCTTTTCCCTGGATTAAATTTCACAATTAAAAAAATGAATAAAAAAAATAAGTAAAACACAATAGAAACATGAGGCAATTTAAGTTTATTTTCCATAAAATAATATTTACACTTTTTTCGATATTGTAAAAATAGTACAAAATCAAACTCTTATTGCCATTTATATTCTAAAGGCTGGATATCGGGCTGCCTTAGGCTTAAGTTTTTAACCAATTTCTTGCCGAAAAAAATCTTTTCGAACTATATTATAGATTAAATATTTCTAACTTTCAATAATCGATCTAGATCAGAGATGTCGGCCGAAAAAACGAGGTTAGATTTTTTGTCGTCGATTATCTTACAGAGCCGTTTGGTGACGCCATTTTTAGACGTTTCACCTCTTTCCGAAAAAGTTAATCTCTGAAAAATAAGTAATATATTATAAAAATAAATAAAACCTTCTGAAAAATACTTTAAAAATAATAACGAATCATGGAAAAGATTTTAACTTTGGTAGGAATTGTAGGTGTTTTGCCAGAGTAGTTATCCATTTTCATAAATGTTTGGTAAATATCGGGAGATATCTTGCCGTTTTCAAACAGAATTTCCATCAATTCCGAAATTTTTAACAAGCTTTAAAATAATAATAAAAAATTCTAATTTAATAAGGTGAAATTTTAAAGATAAGTTCAATATAATTATAACATATATTGGTTTAGAATAATTTAATTACAAGAGCGCTTAATTCAATGACTACTTCTGTGGGAGACGATAAATAATTAGGTACTTGAGTAGGATTTTATGCAAGTTCTTTTTAAATTTATTATTAGCCCATCCATATTTACTTTAAGGCTTAAATTAAATTAATACAATTCTAGGGATGTACCGATATTTTTAATCAAGGAGGATCGAGCATATCATTCATCATTTTAAAATATCGGTAATCAGCCGATATTATTAAATTTGCCAATACGACCCGATAAAATGGCGTCTTCATTTTTTAAAAAAATTTCCATCTGGCTATATTACCAATTCAGCGCAATACAAAAGGAATTAGTGGAATGCATCAATTTAGAATACTTAAAAGGAACTGCTAGTCATGGTGAGCATGATAAAGGTGTCCCGACTATGAAAGATGCGATGTATAAAAATTACTATGAGTTTTTCTTTCTTATATTTTGTAGTAATATTATACATATTATACTTTATATTTTAATGGTTTTTATTTATATTATATTATCTGTTTATACATTGTTATGCGGTTATAAATCAAATATTTAAAGTTCGATAATTGTAAAAGTTAATTTATTTTTTTGTTGAAATAATATTCAAATGTTTTTTATATACAATTAACTTTTACCGAAAAATATCTAATATATATAATCTCCATAATCAAAACATGATCGTTTTCGTATCTTCCTAATGTATTTATAATTTAAGGAGACTAGTGTAATGTTATTTTTTTGCTCTCTACGAGAGTCGAACCACAAACCTCCCGTTTCAAAGGCGTATGTTTTAAGCATGCACCAACTTGAATATAATTAAGTTTAAAATATTAATTAATAGCTGATATTTTTATAATTTTGCCGTTTATTACCATACTAGCTGACGGGCTTGAAGGGTAATTATTTAGTTTGTGTGTATGGTACTAAATATACTTTATTAATAAATTTTATATAAATATTAAAATTTAGAAGAAAAGGAGGTAAAATTGTTGCAATGTATACCGTGAGCATGTATTAGAAATATCAAAATTTAAATTTGTGATGGAAATCATATTGGATAAAATTTAAAATAGAGAAGCCTTAAGATTTTTGAATTTTAAATATGGGTTATACATTGGCCTGAAAATTTTTTTTTTGCAGACATAGCCAGGCCTGATCAAAAAACCATGTCCCATTCATAAAATTTTGCGATTTATTTTTATTGTAATTTAATAAAAATATCTTAAATTTAATTTTATATTTAGAATAAAATTTAGATATGTGATAGAAATCTTATTGGGTAAAATATAAAATAGAAATGCTTGAAAATTTGTTAATTTTAAATATGGGCTAGACATTGGCCTAAAAAATTTTTTTTGCAGAAATCCCAAGCCAGATTAAAAAACTAAGCCCATACAACTTTCATATTCTGATTTTATTTTTAAATGAATTATGACTTTTATAAATTTTATTTCAGTTCTCAACTAACAAAATTATTATTCTTTGACGGGCTTGAGAAAATTTTCACAACAATTTGGTTTTCAGAGATTTACCTATCTCCAGGCTTGGGAAAAAATTACAAAATTATTATGGGTTGGCCAGGTTTGAGAAAAAAAATTTCAGGCCATTGTCTGGTCCATAATTTAAAATTAAAAAAATTTCAAGCATATCTATTTTAAATTTTATCCAATATGATTTCTATCACAAATTTAAATTTTATTCTAAATATAAAATTAAATTTAAGATATTGTTATTAAATTACAATAGAAATAAATGGCAAAATTTTATGAAAGTTGCATGTGACTTAGTTTTTTGATCAGACCTGGCTATGTCTGCAAAAAAAATTCAGCCCAATGTCTACCCCATATTTAAAATTAAAAAATTTTCAAACATCTCTATTTTAAATTTTATTCAATGTAATTTCTATCACAAATTTAAATTTTATTCTAAATATAAAATTAAATTTAAGACATTATTATTATTTTACAATAGAAATAAACGGCAAAATTTTGGGAAAGTTGCATGGGACATGGTTTTGATCAGGCCTAGCTGTGTCTGCAAAACCAATTTTGAGACCAATGTCTAGCCCATATTTAAAATTCATAAATTTTGAAGCATCTCTATTTTTAATTTTACCCAATATGATTCCTATCCAAATTTAAATTTTGATATTTCTAATACCCTTAATTCTCACGGGTTACATTGCAACAATTTTATCTCTTTTTCTCCTAAATTTTAATATAAAGCATATTTAGTGCCATATACACAAACTAACTAATTACCCCTCAACTCCGTCATTCTTGACGGGTTATTATATATATATATATATATATATATACTGATAAATTGCATATCAGGTCAATTCAGCGAAACTTTATCGCGAATGTCGTTTATCGCGAAAAATTTTTATAGCGAAGGTAAAATCGCGAAAACATCTGCGAATTTATCTCCGCGAAACATTTATAGCGAAGAAAATTTCGCGAAGCCATTGTCGCGAATTTATTTCCGCGAAACCTTAACCGCGAATTTATTAGAGCGAATACATTTTAGCGAAACATTTTACGCGAACACTTTACAGCGAATTTTTTATCGCGAATATGTTTGAGCGAAGTATTACCGCGAAACAATAAATATATTGCGAATGCATTTGTTTAAAAGAAAACAACATATTATTTATTATTTGATGTTTTTTAATAAAAAATGATATGCTACTATTGTAATATTATTTTTGTTACAATTTATTAGTGATTTTCACTCCCAAGATTTTAAGTAAAAAATATTTTTTGAAGTTCAAAAAGATTTTTGAACATATTATGATAAAAATTTTAAATCTTCTTTGTAAATATATCTTTTTGAGGAATTCTTTTGTCAAATTTATTATATAAAATATACAATTTTTAGGTGAAATCTTTTATAGTTTTTTTTATCATTTTTGTAAAATTATCTATTTCTTAAGTATATTAAAAGAGGTAGGTTTTCTAGATAATTTTTTTTTAAATATTTATATTTAACTTATTTATGTTATTTTATGATCTTATTAAGGATAATATTTTAATGTGACATTTGTCATATTCGTTATTTTTAAGATTTTTTGACTCAAAAGGGTAAAAATAATTGTAAAGATGTTAAATTATAAATTCAATGAAGATGTTCCTTGGAAATATGGCAATTATTATAATCGGTATTTTTAAACATATTAGATTTTTATAAAGCTAATGGGCAAAAATATGTATTTTTAACATGTTAAATGATAATTTCAATTTGGATGTACCATATAAAAGCGACAATAGTCATAATCATTATTTTTAAAGTTTTTTTTACAATTTTTTGACGTAAATGGGCAAAAATATAAGTTGTTACATGTTAAATTAAAATTTCATAAGATCTAACATTGAAAAGTGAAAATTGTCATGATCGTTATTTTATAACTTTTTGAATTTTTTTGACGTAAATGGGCTAAAATAAGTAGTGCAAACATGTTAAAATAAAATTTCAGTTAAGATGTACCCTAGATAAGTGATAATTGTCATAAGCATTATTTTTAAACTTTTTTTGACACAAATGGGTAAAAACATTGATTGTAAACATAAATTAAAATTTCATGAAGATCTACCATTGAAAAGTGACAATTGTCATAATCGTTATTTTTAAAGTTTTTGGAATTTTTTGACCAAAATGCGTTAAAATAAGTATTGCTAGTATGTTTAAATAAAACTTCATAAAACTTCAGTGAAGATGTACCCTAGATAAGTGACAATTATCATAATCATTATTTTTAAACTTTTTTAAGGTAAATGGGTAAAAATATAGATTGTAAACATGTTAAATTAAAATTTCATGAAAATGTACCATAGAAGAGTGACAATTGTCATAATCGTTATTTTATAACTTTTTTGACGTAAAGGGCTAAAATAAGTATTGCTAACATGTTTAAATAAAATTTCAGTAAAGATGTACCATAGATAAGTTACAATTGTCATAATCGTTGTTTATTTTGAATTCTTTTGTTGTAAATGGGTAAAAGTATAGATTGTAAACATGCTAAATAATTTCATGAAGATGTACCATTGAAAAGTGACATTTGTCATAATCGTTATTTTTAAAGTTTTTTTGACCAAAATGGTTTAGAATAAATATTGCTAGCATGTTTAAATAAAACTTCAGTGAAGATGTACTCTAGATAAGTGACAATTATTATAATCATTATCTTTAAACTTTTTTTGACGTAAATGGGCCAAAATAATTGATAACATATTTAAATAAAACTTCAGTGAAGATGTACCCTAGATAAGTGACAATGTCAAAATCGTTATTTTTAAAGTTTTTTATATTTTTTAACGCAAATGGGTATAATTATAGGTTGTAAACATGTTAAATTAGAATTTCATGAAGATGTTCCATAAAAAAGTGACAATTGTCATAATCGTTATTTTATAACTTTTTAAAATTTTTTTGACGTAAATGGGCTAAAATAAGTATTGCTAACATGTTAAAATAAAATTTCAGTATATAAGTGACAATTGTCATAATCGTTATTTTTAAAGTTTTTTGAATTTTTTTGACGCAAATGGGTAAAAATATAGATTGTAAACATGTTAAATTAAAATTTCATGAAGATGTACCATAGAAAAGTGATAATTGTCTTATTCGTTATTTTATAACTTTTTGAATTTTTTTGACGTAAATGGAAATAAGTATTAAGATGTACCCTAGATAAGTGACAATTGTCATAATCGTTATTTTTAAACTTTTACGAATTTTTTTGACACAAATGAGTAAAAATATAGATTGTAAACATGTTAAATTAAAATTTCACGAGGATGCACCATAGAAAGGTGACAATTGTCATAATCGTTATTTTTATAATTATTCGATTTTTATAGACGCAAATGGGCAAAAATATAAATTGCTTACATGTTAAAATAAAAT